GCCCAAGGGTTGGGGTCTGTGGAGCTTTGGCCTGGCGTGTTCGCGTCGTTCGGGTTGCACTGTCTTCGAGGCGCGTCGTGCCTTCCAGGGAAATATGCCCAGCGCCCTTGTACATTTTCAGCTCGTACCTCGTTCAATGTGTACTCCAAGCGGCCAAAGGCCTCTGAGACTTGATGCAATTCTTGCCTCGTTGGCAACTCGCTCCACTGGGTCTGTCGTCTGTCGTCGCGCCTGCCCCATCGTTCCTGCCAGTTGCCCCAGTCGCGCCAGTTGACCCGTCGCTCTTGCCAGTTGTCCCTTCAGTCCTGCCCTGCCGCTCGCGGCCCCCGCTGTTGCTGGGGCTCGCGCTGATGGTTTTGTAGTGTTCCCTCGGGCTGGTGCTCTGGAACCCGTAGCCCCCGCTGACGCGGGGGCTCTAAGGTCTGCGGTTGCATCCCGCCCCCCTGCCGCGCCACAGGTGCAAGCGCTGGATGTGGCCATTGCTCTTGTTGACGCCACCCTGGGGGGGAGAGGAACTCCTCCTCCTCCTGCTCCTCCACCTCCTCCTCCTCTTCCTCCACCTCCTCCACCTCATCCTCGTTGTCCCCCTTCTCCGCCCTTTTCGTGCTCCTCCTCGTCGTCCTCCTCCTCCTCCTCCTCTCTCCTTTCCCCCCTCCTCCTCTTAATTATCATGGTCCTCTTCCTCCTCCTCCTCCTCGCCCTCCTCCTCCTCCTCCTCCTCCTCCTCCTCCTCCTCCTCCTCCTCTTCTTCCTCTTATTCCCGTACTATATTAATCCTCCTCTTCCTCCTTGTCCTTATTCCTCCTCCTTCTCCTCTTTTTCCTGCTCCTGCTCCTCCTCTTCCTCCTTTCTGTGCCCGCGCTCCTACCTTCCGTTGCCAGCCGCGGGCCATTCGCCATTGAAGTCTACGGGTTCGTCTGCCCACCTGGGCCGCTGCGACGCATCTTGGGCGCCGTCGTGGCGCGCGTCGCTGGGGCTGTTCCGCTGTTCAAGCGCCGCGTCTCGCGCGGGTCGCTGGCGCCGCGTCTCGCGCGCGGGCTGGGGCTGTTCAGGCGCCGCTGCTGCGGCGCCCTCCAGCGCCGCTGCTGCGACGCCCTCCTTTCTCTGGCGGCGCCTCTCCTTCTTCGCGTTCCTTCTCTCCTGCCCCCTGTCGTGCGGACGCGCACTGGCCGTCCGCATCTGGAACAAGAGAGGGTAATGCGCGCCGCCGTGCCGCCGCCCATCCACTTCCACTGTTTCCACTGGGGGCACTTTCTGCACTCCGCGGAAAAGAAGGGTCCGCTTATTTATTTTTTTCAACAAAATTCGAAAGGGCGCTGGCGCGCACTTTTTTGAACATTGTTTGTGAGGGCTCATTGGGGTTTCACTTGTTTTCGGGGCGCTCGGTTTTGAAATGTCCACGCGGCTTGGGCCCGCTCGCCCGGCGGCGCGCGCGCGTGCATTTCGTCCCGCGTTTTATTTGTTTTGCAGATTTTTCTTGAACAATCTCAGTTTTTTTTGAACATTGCTGGTTCTCTGGTGGTGGAGTGCGCGCGCATTTTTTGTATAAAAAAGGTTTTGCGATGGGTTGTGAGCGCGGGGTCGCTTAGCGACTGCCTGGGGCGGCGCGAAGCCATGCCCACGGTGGGCGAGTGCGCCGAGACATCGACGAAAAGTGAGGCGTTAAAGTCGCGCGCGGGTGGGTGGGTGGGTGGTCAGGGGGGCAGGCGGGGTATATATTCGGTTAGAACAGAAGGCCAGCGTGGCGCAGACCGCGTAGAGCTACCTGCGGGGCGCAATATATGTGACGCAAGATATGTGGTGCAACCAATGTTGTTCAGCTCACTTGCCGAACGTGAAGTGGTCAACTCCACTGCTCGCGCAATCGTCCCGCCCGACCACCCGCTACTTGGTCTGCAAAACCCATGCAGGACCGATTGCGATGAGTGATGAGCGTTGGCTGCTGCGTCTCTGCGGCCGCGATAGCCCGCGCATGCTCGCGCGCGCAGCGGCCGGCTAGTTTAGAGAGACCGACGCGAATTCGGTGGCGCTGACCGCTCGGCACATCCCAGCGGGCACTTCAGTGCGAGTCGGCGATTTGGGCGGGTTCGGTATCGCGGCAGCGTCGACGACGGTTATTCGACACGATGATGATAGTAGCGATGTTGGTGGCGATGTTGACAGCGACGACGGGAGCCAATGACGGCGCCGATGCTGATCACGCCGACGACAATGACGGCGTCTTCGCGTCGGTGATGAAGGTTCTGGAAGGAATTCGACATGCGCGCGCGGCAGACGCGCGAGAGTGGCTCGCATGGTGTTATTTGACACGGATCGTACCACCCCAATACGCGCGCAAAGACGCTCGACAGATTTCGACGCGCGCGCGCGAGGCCCGCTTGGTAGCAATTTATGAACATGTTGATTAACAGGTGTTTTCATTTGAATTCGCAAAAGCGCGCACGCTTTTGTTGAAACTCCGCTTTGCGATTTTTTTTGCTCATGTTCAAGATGATTGTCTGGGTACTCGGTTTCTACATCCCTCCGAAACCGCAGTTTTTGGACAGATTTCTGCATGCGCACGCGACGACGCGCGCGTGTGCACTTCGCCGCATGTTTCCAAACAAGGGTTTTGACAACTTGTGATGTGTGGTAAATCGTGTACGCGCATAGTACTTGTTTTCCAGAAGATGGCGGGGGGTACCGGTACCGGCCTGGCTGGCATAGTCTGAGTTCACAAGTAGGGTGGGCAATGGTCAAAATAATATGTGTTTGGAATCGGTTCCCGGAAAGTCGATAAGTCCGAAGGGGGAGGGTGGTAGAACCGATCTTTTTTATAAGAGAGAATCGGCGTAGTGGAGCTTATGTTCGTGCAGTGTCTGTTGTGCAGTGTATGTGGCGCGCCATCGGGCAGCCCATGTGGTGCAAGTTACCTTGCGCAATATATGTATATATACATATATATATATACATACACATGGTACAATACATGTTTCACCGACGTGGTGCAATCCATGCGGTGCAATCGATGTGGTGCAATGTATTTGTTGCATCGATGCGGCGACGGCGGCAACATAGCCGATTGAGCGACGGACAGGCCCAGTCGACGAGGCGGCGCCCGGTCGGCGACGGCGGCCACATAGTCGCCATAACAGCAGGCAAGCTCAGACGACGGGCGGCGAACGGGCGGCGACGGCGGCCACATAGCCGTCAGAACGGCAGGCAGGCCCAGTTCCTTAGAAACGGGGTAAGAGTCCCTAAATGCAGACACTGCTTGGGGAACGTTGGTAGGAACAGGGTCATGGACAGGATGCGTGAGACGAGGAGGGAGCGAGGGAGTGTGAATACCACGGGAGAATCAGGGCGAACGGGAAGGAGGGGGACCGAGGAAGGTGGGGACGGCTGTGGGGTGGGACTGGGGTTTGGAGGAGGCAGCGGGGATTCGGGGAAGTAGCAGCACTCGGATGAGGGATTTGGGTGGAGGAGGCGGGGGAGAAGAACGATGATGTTGCTGATGATGATGATGATGATGATGATGATGATGATGATGATGATGATGATGATGATGATGATGATGATGATGATGCTGCTGATGATGATGCTGATACTGATTGCGACGGTGGTGGTGGTGGTTGTGATGGTGCTGGTGATGACCGTGATGATGGTTATGCTGATGATGATGATGCTGATGATGCTGATGATGATGATGATGATGATGATGATGGTGGTGGTGGTGGTGGTGGTGGCGGTAGTGATGCTGATTGTGATGGCGATGGTGATGGTGTATGACGATTATGGTGGTGGTGATGACGATGGTGTCGGTGATGGGTATGATAATGATGGTACGCATAGTGATTATGATGATGCTAACGTTGATGATGATGCTGAGGACGGTAGGATGGTAGTGATGATGATGATGATGATGACGATGATGATGATGGTGGTGGTGGTGATGGTGGTGTCGGTGGTGCTCATGGTGATGATGCTGATGCTGATGATGGTGATGATGACGATGGTGGTTGTTGCATGATGGTGGTGTAGGTGATGGTTATGATGCGGATGACGGTTATGATGATGGTGATGATGATGGTGATGGCGATGATGATGACGACGACGACGACCACAGCATGTATACGGATGTTGATGATTATGATGATGATCTTGATGATGTTGACGATGACGACGACGATGATGATGATGTTGATGATGTTGATGACGACGGGGATTATAATGCTGATGATGATGAGGACTACGATGATGATGATGATGATGATAATGATGATGATGATGATGATGACGACGATGCCGATGACGATGATGATGATGATGATGATGATGATAGTGCTGGTGGTGGTGATGATGGGGATGATGATAAACGTGTCAGTGATTATGGTCAGAGGGGATGTTGTGGGGGGGAGGGCCGGAGGGAAAACAGGATGCGGATGACGATGAGGAGGACCACCCTCCCGTCTCAAGTCCCTTCTTAAGTCGTTCTAAGCATTCGTTTTCATTGCGCGAAGCGTCCCCCTTGAAAGACGACGATCCCATCGGCCCGCAATTCAGGCGGGAATTCCGTTTTGAAAGGCGGTATCTTCGTTCTTAGCTATAAAGAATGCGACCAGGTGGCGTCATCGTGTTTATACATTTGTCCTTCGACAGCCCATCTCTGTAAAGTCGCTGTCATACATCGTTCTAGCTCTTCTACATTTGTATATGTGTGGTTATCAGGTATAGCGATATCTCAAAGGAGATCCCCATTTTGAAATGAAGGCGTGAAGCTGTTACACAATGTGAACTGCTGTGTCATGGACTTGTCTGGAAGTCTCCTGCGAGAGCCCCAATATGAGAAGGAGCCGCCCTCCATCCGTGGAGCTTTCTTCGCATCAGTTAGGCGAGCGTTCGCGGCGCCGGACCGACACCCGCAGTTTGGAAATCACCAGCCCTCCATCTGTGTAACTGTTTGGGATTTTCGAGTCGAGCGTCGTCGTCCCCTCGTTCTCCCCCCCGCCGCGCTCGGCCAGACGACAACGTCGTCATCGGCTCCCCCGTTGACGACCGACCCGGGGGCTCTGCGGCCGCTGGCGCCCCCAGGGGAGGGCGAAGGTTGCCCCCTGCTTATGCACGCCACTGCCCGCTCGTCGCGTGCCTTCGGAGGCCTTAGGATGGATGCTTCATCCGTGCCCCTGCTGCTGCTTTCTAGTTTTGGACGCCAAGGGCCCGCAGGGTATTTGGGGTACGGGTGCAAGAATCAGGCTCCAGAGGCTGGACTTCCATCCACACTTGGGCTTCGGCTTGGACTACGGCTCAGAGTATATCGCGACTAGCCGGCGATGAGACTAAACGTGCACACCGAATCTACCCACGAGGTTTCGTACAAACGTCGAGCATTCTGCCAGCGCGATGGCCTCAGACCGGGACGCGTCGATCCAGGAGTTGTGGAATGTGCCTCCCATGGCTGAGGCCCGCTTCTCTCCACTGCCCGAGATGACCTCCACGATCCAAGCCAATGCAGCCCATGCCCAGCCTCGCGCCCAGCCGTCGGAGTGAATAAGAAAGCTGCACTATCGTACAGATGTGTGTTTCTAAGGCCAATCAACTTATAGAGACCACGTCCTTCTGCGCGTTCATCATGTAATTGTCCACAGAATCCGCTATGACATTGAATTGCCTCCAGCGCCGCACATACGGGTCCCCAGCAGGTGAGGCGGACACCATCCTGAGCGCAGCAGGTTGACCATGTTGTCGCACGTACGGCGTAATAGCGGCGTAGCGGACTTGTCCAACCAGGGCGCATGTCCACATATGATTATTGTAGTGGTCTCCGTCCAGTGCCACCGATCCGGGGCGCTTCTGATGTTATTGTTGGGATGGACGATGACGACGGCAACAGACGCCCAACGGTCGACGACTGTGATCATTACGACGACGACCGACGAACGGGTTAACGACGACGGTTGATGACGATGACGACGACGACGATGTCGACGACGACGACGACCACGACGTCGACGACGACGACGACTGACAGCGAACGGCTGCCGATGGCCGACGACGACGTCTACGACTGACGGCGAACGGCTGCCGACGGCCGACGACCGACGACTGGTGACGACGACGGGTGGATGGTTTTTCCTCCATTGTTTTCGTTTCCGAGCAATACCAAGTCATCCTATGCACTTCTGGCCTGGCAGCGCGCGAGTGAGCGCCTCTGGGGTCCTCTTGGTTTTGGGGGCCTCTTGGGGGCCTCTTGGAGAGTTCTTGTGCGGGGCGAAGCTCTGTAGGGAGGGGTGTAGGGTAGGGGCGATGGCCAGGAAGAAGGATGGGGGAGGGACGGGAAGGAGGAGGGAGGGGGGAGGAGGGGGAGGGGGAGGACGAGGAGAACGAGGAGGAAAGAGGGGAGGGGAAGGACCTCCCTCTGGAGGAGCGGGAGGAATCTATGAGGAGGAGGAGGAAGGAGAGGGAGGAGGAGACATATACGAGGCGGAGGTGGAGATAGAGGAGGATGGGGGACGAGGAGGAGAAGGGGGGTGTAGCAGGGAGTGGGGGAGGAGGCAGGAGGCAGGAGGGGCATAGAGGGGGGAGGAGGAACAGTAGGAGGGAGAGGTGGAGGAGGCAGGAGGCAGGAGGGGGATAGAGGAGGGGGAGGGAGGGAGGAAGAGGAAGATGAGGAGGAACAGGAGGCGGAGGGGGAGGAGGGGGAGGCGGACGAGGACCAGGCGGAGGAGGACGATACCCCCTTGGAGGAGGAGAATAGGGGGACTTTGATGAGGAGCACAAGGAATGACTCGCCTCGCACTGTTGGAAGAGGATGAAGATGAACATGAAGAGAAAGGTGAAGATGAATATCAAGATATTGATGGTGATGTTGATGCTGATGACGATGACGATGATGCTGGTGAAGATGGTGATGCTAATGATGAGGCTGCTGATGCTGATGATGATGATGATGATGCTGGTGGTGATGATGATGCTGCTGATGCTGATGCTGATGCTGATGATGATGATGATGGTGGTGGTGGTGATGATGATGATGATGATGCTGCCGCTGATGATGATTGATGATGATGATGATGATGATGATGATGATGATGATGATGATGATGATGATGATGCTGATGCTGATGCTGATGCTGATGCTGATGATGATGATGATGATGATGACGATGACGGTGATGATGATGATGGTGGTGAGGATGATAATGCGATGATGATGATTATGATGCTGCTGTTGGTGATGATGCTGATGCTGATGCTGATGCTGATGATGATATTGGTGGCGGTGGTTGGGATGGCGCGCGTAGGAAAACGAAAAGGAAAAGCCAGGGAAGATGAAGGAATGGAGGAGGAGGAGGAGGAGGATGGAGCGGAGAGTTTTGAAACATACTTGGAGGAGGAGGAATATGAAAATAGGGTGGACAAGCAGGGCGCATGTTCACATATGATTATTTGCAGAGGTTGGCAATCCAACACCACGAACAAAAGTTGTCTCGGCGCTAGGCCCCACGTGCAATCGACTTCCGGCCCGTCTGCGGCGTGGGATTCCGGGAGACCTTCCAGAGCATGGCCGCGGGGCTTGGGGTGTTTGCCCACCAGCGCCGCCGTCGCCTCGACCCGTGGGTAGAAGCGGCAAGCCCCAGCGAGTGGATACTTTATTTGCTAAGAATTCGAAATTCGCCATACATTTCCGCACCTGGCCGAACTGGTCGCGGAAAGCCCTCTACTCCATACAATACACCAGCACAATTACGTCTTCCCATTCGGTGTCGTGTCCTGAGCCCCATACAGCAAATCTAAGTGTCGCCAGGAGCACCAAGGTACCTACTGGGCGCCATACCACCGATCCCTAGTCCTGAATCTGCGAACCGAGCGAAGATGATTCAATCCAGCCGGGAATGTCTAATGCCCCTCGGTGGGGTGGGGCGTGAGTAGGGACATTCGTAATGCTTGGATGGCCCAGCGGCAGTGCCGTTAGGTTCTTCGTGAGACCTTCAGAAAACTTCAGAGATCAAGAACCATGGCTGCGGCCTTCTTTGCCTGGTTCCCCCTTGATGTCTTCTGCTTCTGCTTGCTGAGTGGAGTGGCACAGGGCTTTTGTTCCTAAGTCCCTTGGGGCGGGCGCCCGGGACGCCAGGGTCTTGTCCGCGATCTGCCCAGACCTCTGCCGCTGTCGTTTCTTCGGTGCTGGCGTGCTTCCTCGTCGGCCCCCGCCTTGGGGCCCCTAGGGGACCACAGGAGCGCCGTGTGGGAATAGCGGCTCCTCTTGGAGGGGTCGAGGAGAGGCCCATGGGGCCACGTGCTGAGGAAAGCTCGACGTCCGAGGTCCAGACCCGATGCTTTCTTCTGTTTTTTTCCCTCCGCGGGTGCCGGGCGCCCAGGGGCGTGGGGCGCCAAGGGAGCGGGGCCACCTAGATGTTTTGATTCGCCTCTGCTTGCTCGTCGATCTTGTCTTCAGTCTCGTTTCCAATTCTCAGCTCGAGGAACAGGAGGGGTCCTGAAGGACCCGTAAAAGTTTCGACGTCTGCAGGCTCCCTGGACTCCCTCTGGGCCCGGGGGCCATCACAAAAAGAACCAGGATGTAATGCTGGTCATGGGGAACGCCTTGGGAGCCCAGGGTCAGTTTTTTCCAGGGCCCGCTTCCCTCAGGCGAACAGTTCTTTGTCCGCAAGCCCTGGGAGAGATGTTGGCCTGCCGAGGGTCGCTGCTTCAGGGGCCATGAGTCCAGCTAGAGCAGCCACCATGGCCCGAACAGTAGTTATCTGAATTGGTTTACGGAACGCACCGTTGCTCATTTTGGCGTGGACATGTCGGTGGAGCCATGCCTCGTTTTGGTCTGAGGGGTAGATTTTCGTGGACATGTGGTGGACGACGGCAAGTACGTGCTTGCTGCAATGGCCTGACACCTCACAGCTTGCCGGAGGCCTCGAATCTTCCAGAGACTTACAGTAGCACGAGGTGGGTATGTTTTCATGATGCCTCCAGTCTTCATATACTACATCATGTGGCTACACTGACACCTGTTCTAAGCGGGCTGCTTGATGGCAACGTGAGCCCGGCGTTGCCGTGGCCCAGATCGTTTGTTGTGCTTCTATGGTTATGATTTTCCGCTGTGAGTCACAAGTATGTTCGCTTGATTTGCGGGCTCCTTCAGTTGCCCCTCCCCTCCTCTGGTTGCTGCCCTCGCCTGTACCTTCACATTCGCCCTCGCCGTCGCCTTCGACCTCACCTCTCCCTAGAGCAGCCAAGGTCCGCATTTTCTCTATCCTGCTTGGCCCGTGTCCCCTGTTTCGTCGATGCAGACAGCCTGGCGCGACGTTGAAGGCGGGAGCCCAGCCCGCCTCCCCGCTCCCACCTGCATCCCCCAGATGCCTCCAGAGACCAGACGAGGCCACCGAACGCAGAGAAACTTCGACAACCGGTCCGACTCGCTGTCAGGGGTGCCGTCGGGACTCCCCGTGTGAGGGCCATTGGCACCAACATTAGGCACGTGTCCGCGAGGAAGTCAATATCCGGCGCGCTGAACCCTGCCTGCAGGCTCATTCTCGATCCTAGATCTTCTTCCCCGATTGTAGATCCTCCTCAGTCGCGCTCCTGCCTCCCTCCCTCCTGCGGCTCCGGTCAGCCCTCCCTCGCTCCTCCATGTCGCCTCGCCTCCCCCAAAGCCCTCTGGCCAGCCCGCTCCCTCCTGTTCGCTGTCTCCCGCCGAGCGCAGGTGCTGCCATGGGGCTCCCCCCGGCTGGGGCGCCGCAGGCCCTCCCGAGGGCAGGAAGGGGGAGGGGAAGGCCTGAGGATCCAAGGATCCCCTCGTCCCCTCCTCCTCCTCCTTCTCCTCCTTCTCCTCCTCCTTCTCCTCTTTCTCCTCCTCCTCCTCCTCTTCGCCCTCCTCGTCCCCCTCCTTCTCATCCACCTGGTCATGCTCCTCCTCCTCCTCCTCCTCCTCCTCCTCCTCCTCCTCCTCCTCCTCCTCCTCCTCCTCCTCCTCTCAGGTGGCTCCCTGCGCGGCACCCCTTTGCCCTTCCGCAGCCATTTTGCCCGCGGGGGCGAGGGGGCCCACCAATGGGAGCCCCCAGCCCCAGGCGCTCGCCTGGCGCGATGCCAACAGCGCACATGCCGCCTTCTTGTGAGGCCTCGGTGTCCCGTGCCGCCCGACGCCGCGCCAGGGGGCGCTGCACGGCGGCTCGCCGCGCACAGGCTGCGGCTGGCGCGATCGCTGCGCTGCTGCGGCCGCGGGATTCGCCCGACATGGTCGCGGCGGGCGAGGCTCCATGCGTGGCCGAAGGCCCACCGCCCTTCGTGCCAGGGCTTCTTGGCGGAGGCTCCGAGGGCGCGTTGCTGATCGACCTCCTGGGCCTGGTCGGCGCTCCCCGGTGCTGGCTGCTGCACTCCTGCCCCCACCGCTGGGTGGCCTGGGCTCGCCGTGCCGCTGGTGCCTGGTCGCTGGAGTCCTCCTGGTGTTGGAGAATGGCGTGGAGACGGTGGACCTGCTAGGTTCCTTGGTGATGCTGCGCATGCGTCTTGCCACTCAGTTGGCGCCCTGCCGCCGTCGATGGGAGGCACGCCTGCCGCGCAGCCTCCGCCTGCTGGACCTCATCGTGTTCGGCGAGGGGGGAGTCCACGGAATGCCGCTCGAGCGCGTGGGGATCGGCCTGGAGTCGCTGGACTTTGTCTGGACGTGCGCACTGATAGCCCACGTATTCTCAAGCCTACCGATGTCGCCTTTCCTCGTCCAGTTCCTGGGCCGCGTGCGCGAGTCTTCGGTGCCCGACCTTGGGGTGGCCTTCCTCGCCCGCTCCCTGGGCAACCTGGACGCATTTGCAAGGCTGGGCCTCAATATCTTGCTGAAGAAGTCGTTATCCCTCGATATGTTTTTGGGCCTCGTGGGCGTCTCTTCGGCGCTCGGCATTGGTGCGATGCTCCTCGGCAGCTCGTCGGGCCTCGATAGGGGGCGTGCTCAAGGCTGGGCCGGAATTCAGCAGGACTGACGAAGACATTGTTTCCTTCTTGGCGGCCGACGGAGCTGCCCTGGTTGATGGTGCCGCGGCAGAGCCCAGGAGCGACGGACACCTCTTCAGCGACATGCTCTACGCTGACGGCTTGCTGGATATTCTCTGTCGCCCCAAGTCGCGCACGGCAGGCGGCGATGCGACGACTGGGGCTTCCTGAGCCGATGCCGAGTGTGAGCCATGGCGCCGCCTCAGATGCATTTCCTTGCGAGCAGGGGCGCCGTCCCCAGTGGTCGTCAGAAGGGTTTCGCATGGCCATGCAAGCACATGTCTTCTTCGCCTGGCGAGCTGGGACGTCGTCCCCAGTAGTCGTCGGAAGGGTCTCGCTTGGCCGTGCGAGCGTTGGAGGCTTGCTGGGCATTTTCTGCCGCCCCGAGCCGGACGCGGCGGACGATGATGCGGCGATTGGGGCTTCTGAGCCGTCTCGGACGGAGAGCCCAGGCGCCGCCTCAGACGTGGCACCGTGGTCGTTCGGTCACGGCGGCCAGCCCCAGCGACGAGGGAGCGGCGTAGGTGGGCCCCCTCGCCTGGGGGGGGGGGGGGGGGGGCGCAGCCTGGTCGATAGCGCGAGCCGTGCTGTCCCAGGTGATGTCGCGCACTTGGTCCACGGGTTGGCCTCTCGATGGGGGTGGCTTCGGTGAATTTCCCGCGCTTTGCTGGGGGCGCGGCCCGGGGGATGGCGCGAGCTGCGCCGCCCCAGGCGACGCCGCGCACCTCGGCTCCCAGGGGGTGGCCTCGGCGGGCCCCCCTCGCTTCGAGGGGGGCGCGGCCTGGGGGGTAGCGCAGGGCGCCGTCCCAGGTGATGCCGCTAACCTGATTGGAGTACTGGGCTGATGCCGCGCTTGGCCTCGCCCCATTTCCCATTCCCCTCTTCGGTCATTGGGCCTGGGCGCCCCCCCCGGCGGCGTCGCTGAAAGATTCCGAGGCGGCCGGGGGCCCCGCCCCCATCTCCCGCGCGCGCTCGGCGCCCTCTGGTGCGCGGCGTCCGCCGGCCAGCGTCGCATTTGTTTCACCTCCCCCCCCTTCCTCGCCCTTGGAAAGCGGCGGCTGCCGACGCCGACAAGGTGGATGCCGACGCTGAGCTCGATCGCGCGTTTCCCGGGCGCGCTCGCGTCGCGGGGGGGATTCGCCGCGATGGTTGTGCCCGCCAAACAATTAATTATTCTGGGTGGAAAGAACCAGCCCCGGGGATCGGGCCCAGATTTTCGCGCGCCGCGCATCGCGAGATATTGGGCGCCTGCCCTCCGCGCCCCCCCCCGCGCGCGTCCTCCCCCGAGGCCCTCCTCCGCCGTGGGCGACTCGAGCGGTGCCTTGTCTGTCCAGCGCCCTCCAGCCCTGCCTGTTCCACCCCGCCTTCGCCCGCGCCTTCCGCGGCAATTTGCAGCCCAGCCAGGCAGCGCGCCCGTCTTTTCGTCGCCGTCAATGTTCGCCCCGCTGTTCGCTAAAGACATGTATTTCAGCACTTCTTCTTGCGTCCATGTCTCTAGTTTGCAGCAGGGCTTCGGCTCCAATGCCGCGGCCGCAGCGCCACGCCGCGCCTCGTTGGCATCGGCCCCGCCGCTCCTCATCCGGCCATTTCGCCCCGCTGGTTTTCCCGCTGTTCATCTGTCTCCATCGCCTTCGCGCGCCTCTTCCCGTTCGCCGCGTCAGGAAACGCTGTCGCTCAAGGGTCCGTTGGGTCGCTGGCCCACCCGCCGGGGGCGCCGACGGAGACGGCGCGCGCCTATCTTGGCGAACATGGGCCCCGGCCGCGCCGCCGACCACGGCGACGAACCTCGTGGCGCGCTGGATCTCTCAGAGGCCCCTCCTGGGCTTGCGCCGGCTGCGTCAGCGCGCTTCGCGGACCCTGCGACGTCGGTGCGCCCGCCTCTGGGCGCAGCCGCGCATGCCGGACAGTTGCGGGGCGCAGGGTTCGCGCGCGCGGCGCCGGTCAAGGGCCCCGATCTGCCGGCGATTGCCTCGCGAGAACCCTGGCGGGGGCAGGCGGCGAAGCGCGGGGGTGCGATGGGGGGTCCGGCACCTGCGTCGTCAGCATCCCGACGGACATCGAGGCGGAATGGGAGGGGTCGGAGTTTTGCCCCACGGCGTGCGACTGTTCATTTTGCCCACGCGTTCCCGTCTGCCTGGCAGGGCCGGGCCCCGAGACGCGCGGCCCCTGACATTCGCGCGTCGGGCAGCGCCCGGCGCGGCGGCGACGCGACGTGCGAGGGTCGCCCGCCGGCGGCGTCGCGGGGCGGTGCGAACGCCGAAAGCGTCGCGGCTGCGCTACGGATGCACGCGCCCGATGCGCAGACGAGGAGGGGCGCGCCCGGGGCAATCGCCCACGGCGCTTCGAAGGCGCATGTCCCGAGCAGCGCCGCTGGTGGATCCTCTTCCCCCAGCGCCTCTACGGCGCGCGGAGGGAACTGCGCTCTGGATGGAGGGCCGTCGGAGTAGGCGCGTTTGCCGGCGACCCTGCGCGGGCGCAGGCTTCGGCAGCGGCGACGTTCGACACCTCCGCGCGCGGGGGCTTGAGCAGCGATCGTGAGAGTTTTACAGAAGCCATCGTTTTTCTTTCATATTGCTGAGGCCTGCCATCTTTCGGCGCTCTCTAAGATGCCACTCCGCTGACTGCCTGGGCCGTGCATTGCGTCGCGTTCTCTTGCTGCGCCAAGATCGCGCTGGCCTCGGCGCCCCTGGATGCCGCGGAGCCCCCAGCGGTCATCTAGGGTCGCGGGAGAGGGCGTCGCAGGCCTAACTGGATTGGCTCATCAGCGGAGTGGTTCTTGCGTGCCAAAACATTCCCCAGAAGGGGGGGGCGATCTGGCCCTGGCGGGGCGCCCGCGTCAGCCCCGTCCGATCTCCGCGCGGAAGCGCCCCGAAACATTCGAACGCCGCGGGCGTTGTCGAACCGCAGATTGCAGGAACTTGCTCGCGACCTCGGTCGATCCCTTGGGGGTGCTTTCGGGGGGGGGGGGTCTGGAGGAGGCATTCGTGTTCAGAGGAACTGGAGTGCAGGAATGGGGGCGCGAGGTCGCGATGTGGTAGGTGGCGCATTCAGACCTTGGCGAGATTCGCCGAGCGGCGTCGGCGCGTCGCCGCGCCTCGCCGGCATGCCCCGCGCGTTCGTGGGCGAATGCCCGCTGGCAGTCTCGATTCATGGAGGTCCGATAAATGGCAACCTGGTGCCGCCGACGACCTTCCCGGCGCGCTGTTTGGCCGAGCGGTGGGGCCGACCGGGCGCGGGGGGGCGCGCTCCAGCAGCGTCGTCGCTGATGCAGTTTTGCCGATTGCATCGAGAGCGCATCGACAACGCCCTCGCGAGCTTCGTGATCCCACGCAAATGCAAGAGGCCTTTACAGCACCGCCAACACTGGGCCCGAAAACATGCAACGACCGTTTGTTGCACCTCGCGGCTACTCAGCGCTTCAACGTCGATCGAAACGCGCGCGAAACGCGCGTTGGGTGTGGCTTATTTGGCCGCGCGTGCCTACGGGGGGCAACTGTCACCAACGCACTCTGGCCATAAACCAGCCTGCTCGCAGCATGGCGACCTCCGCCCCGAACCTCTCCCCCGAGCTCCTTGGAGGGAGCGCGGCGAGGGCGGCGGGGGCGCCTTCGCTGACCCCGCGAAACATTGCCGAATACCCCAGAGAAACAATGCAGGCCGCGTGAGGTGGCGTGAGCCTTATAGCTCTTGGTGGTAACCGATGTTGATGGCAATGCATGTGTCACTATGGCAACCCGAAAGATACCACCAACACCAAA